TAGATAGATAGATAGATGATAAAATAGAAAATTAATATTAATATTTGGCTTTGCCTGGGCTGAATGGCAAAAAAAGAGCAGATAAACATGACTGACGATTTAGGACTTTGGGGATCATATTGTCAGTTCCGAGTGTGCAATTAATGCTCTTATTCACATGAACTTTGGATTAAACACAATGAATGTCTTCCAAAACAACATTTCATCTCATCATCTGTGTTTGACATCATTTTAAGGATTTGGAAACCCTACATTTATTTAAAACGAGCTGCCAAACAACAAGAGCTTTAGAAAAGGTAAAGCAGATTGCTTTAAATCATTCAATAATACAACGAACTAAAAGATCGTGTAAATAGAGTAAGTTAATGTGTTTGAGGACTGTGCCGGTAGATTGCGTTTAGTTTTTTAATAACATGACAACCCGATGTAGACTACAAAAACAGAACATGCTCAGTCGTTTCCAAACGATTTGCACATTTGTATTTTAAACTAATAAGAAAGGATGAACCGATGACTGTTAAAGCATAAAACACAGTTGACCAATAGAAGTTATTGTACACATTTCTATGAACTACACTTACTTCCTGCTTAGGGTCCTTCTCTGGCGGAGTCTTACATTTAGCAGTCCTGAGAAATGCCTGTCGAAAAAGCACGTGCAACTACTTAATAATTAAGTTGTGTTCTATTTGTTTTAGTTTTTTTTTTTTATTCTCTTTTAATATATTATGTGTAGATGTATTTCATTTATTTTTGTCTAAGAGCACACTGGCTTTTCTCGACCCTGGCAGTTTATAATCATTTAAGAGGGTTGTATGACAGATTAGTCACTCAGTGAATGAGAAACATGTTGGATATTTTAATAGCAGATTAAATAGCATTTAGAACAACGATTCATATCTCTTTTACCAATATTAGATTTTTTGTTGTTGTTGGTTTACTATTTACATTCATCCAATGTTCATGATTAGCGCACAAAAATAAATGATTATATATATATATATATATATATATATATATAATCATTTATTTATTAATGAATAAAATATAAAAATAGAATAAATTCTAGTATATGCACTGATTTAAATTTAAGAATATGTATTAATTTATGCCTTTAACATCCTGTCAGATCTTCATTTTTGGGGGTAATGAGGAGCATAATTTTACTGCCAAAAATATTATTCTCTGCCATGATATAAATCCTGGGATTGGAGAAATATAAAGACACATCATCTTCGGTAATAACCATTAAGCATAGATTATAAAAGGGTTAGGCTTTAATCGCTGCTCCGAACATATGGTTGTAATTCAATGTTTTATCCGTGGTCTGGGCTACCGTTAATAAAAAGGTAGTGTAATAGTGATGGAGTAATCTAGTGTTGTTAATGGACTCCATATGCTTCTAATCACTCAGCCGAACATATGTCAAACTCTGAACTGACCTCCTCAAAAATAACATTTAACCATCTGACTGAATAAATGCTGACTGATCTTGGGTGGAAAAATAATTAGAGGTGTAAAGTAGGGATGCACAATGTTATCGGACCAATATCGGAATCGGCCGATAATGGCTTTAAATGTAAATATCGGCATCGGCCCGATATGAAAAAGTATGTCTTGCCGATAAGAGGAATACATTAACTCACATGTGCTCAGAGTGTGCTAGAGATTAGATCAGCTCAGCATTATGGCTCATTCTTGATGCAAAGTTTTGCCTGAATGGTGATTGGATTCACTGTTTTGATCGCTGCATTTAAACTGAGAATGCACTACAGAATGAAGTGTTAGGTGTGTGATAAACAGTAATAGCACGTACAACAGCGGCAGCCTCCCCCGGGTCCTAATGCCCGCTCAGTAAAGAGTTTTAATTCCATAGGGGGCGCTGTTGGCCTACTTCTAACAAAATGAAAGCAAAATACACAAATAATATTTAGACAGTGTTTCTGATTTAATAAAGCAGTAATTGATGCCATAAAATCTTGAGTATGTTTTGATTTAAAGGCTATAGCTTACATGAACAAAAAAAAAATCACAAACACTTAAACTAAATAATTTCATATTTACTGATTTATTCATTAATGTGTAATATGTTCTTTTTTTAAACAAATTATGAGCTCTAAAAGATTTTCAGAATTTGTACAACTCTTTTGCTTTAGACCATTTACAAATGTTAAATCATAAAATAAAATGTTAAGGTTACCACTGCATCTTTCTGGAAAAAAAAAATGCAGTGATTAATATATAGTTTATTTATAGTTATTTTCGAATCTTCAATGTACTGTCATTATAAAATAACTTTATTATTGTTTATTTAATTCTAACAAATAAGTTCTTGTTAAAAACTAACCCAAATTAAAAATAATTATGCATCGGCTATCACCCAAAATGAGTTGAAAATTATCGGCATATCGGCAAAAATCCAATATCGTGCATCCCTAGTGTTTACAAAGCACTTATTACAAAACAAAAAAATGGCAATCTCCAACATACATTAACAGATGAAAAGACAAAACAACTTTATTAAAACCTGAAATATGAAATGACTGGCTCATAAGGGTAGAAGCTACTCTGGTCAAACTTTTCAAACCCTTTAAACCAAATGTGTTGCATATTAAAGCATGATGTCATAACAACACTACATTAACCACATCTTTATTAAAAAATTCAGACTTCACCCATATGTCTTTAAATATATTAAACCCAACTTTTACTTTCCAGGCTGTCTTTGAAATGGAAACACCATACGATTAGCTTTGGGGAACTTAACATTTATTTTAAAAAAAGAAAGAAAAGGAATGAAAACGATATTTCAGGTGCCAGAATCAAACCGTAAGACAGCTGTATGGCTTTGGCAGACCTGTCCCACTGATTTCATCTTGGATGTGACAAAAACAACAAGCACAGACGCAGGAGCTTCTGTAAAGTTACAAAACTGGACAAGAAAAATATTTCCTGGTAATTGTTTCATATAAAACTACCAGAGTACTTACAGCAAAATCATTCAGGGTACAATTTTCAGACATTGGAGAGCAACATATAGAACCACAGACACAAAACAGTCCATTTTCCTTTGCCACATTCCCTGTGTTCCTCATTAGATCCTGATCCACCGCAATCCATCTTCATCCAAACAGTAATAATAAGACGATACACACTGAATTCACTGCTATCAGAGGTACTGTGGGAGGAGAAGAGAAAACATGTTCATATAGAACCATTTCTGATATTACATGAAGACATAGGAACAATATATGGAGCTATTTTTCCCCAGAACGTGATAAAGATCAATGCAAATCTAAAACCCATTACAGTGGCCTGTAGCACGAAGCGAGATAGAGTTGCAGAGTAAGTTTCGAGTTGACGAAACCCGCTCAAAACCAACCCATCTTCTTGAGCCTGAAAACTCTCAAACTAAACCCGAACTTAGCTGGGTAAAAACTGAAACCGGCTTCGTGCTACATGCCACAGGTATGTTAGCAGCTCTATTAATGATTCTTGGAGTAAGTAAACGGAGGAATTAGTAGACATCAGTATTAACACTGTACAGAAGAACAAACCTCTCATGACAGTCCTGACGGAGCGAATAAGGTTCAGAAGTTGTGCTTTAATGCCGGGTTCATCTCCAAATCCTCCAATACCCTGCTCTGCTCCCCAGCCGACTGGAAAATGACGTGTTTGTTAGTCACAGAGCCCTCTGCCATGATATGCATCATGCTATAATGACTATATGCTTGCATATTAGGATGTATATTAGTGCTGTGTTTGATACGACGATGTATCGTCACAGAGATTTGACCACGCTCTCTCTCCACTGTGGATAAACGCGCTTGCTTTCTGAAAACACCGGTTTTAGTTTTAGCTTGCAGTTTAGCGATCTCCAATAGTAAGCAGTGTTTAATAAACAGCTGTTTTTCTAAATTCTGCTGAGGTGAAATTCAGTGCAGTCCAGTCCCGTATCGTGATACGTATCGTGACTTTGCTGGTGATACACAGCCCTAATGTATATCTTTATCATCAAGGACTGAAGGATTATATAGTGTACACATCCCTACACGTACATTTTACTGGAAACATTTTTTTTTTTTGTGACCGTATTCACTGGAAAAAGAGTGTGGTTAATCCCTGAAAAATGTTGCATCTCTAACAAAACATCAGAGGTACAATTAAGGAATATGCATAATGTCAAAGTGCTACTTTTGCTGATATTCCCAGTTGATCTGTATTTTTTAAGACGGAGGAAGAGCGCTTTGCTTATTGCATTTTATTTTATTTATTTTCAGTGCCATCAGATATATTCCCTTTGGGAGAATTTAAGTTATTTATAAAAATCTGATTTATTTTATTTTTTGGCTGAAAGATAATAAAGACAGCCGTGCTGCTGTTATGTACTGTTTTTTGTTTTTTTTCCCCACAAGAACAAATTTCTCAAATCTTTCTCTAGATATGAAGACTTCCTTGCTGAATTTTCCTTTACTGTAAAATGTCTTAAATTTATAAATAATAAGAATAACACATTTCGCATATGATAGTATCGTTCCTACAGATTTCTTTCACATACCTGTGTTTGTATGTATATTCCTTCTAACAAAACATCAGAGGTACAATTAAGGAATATGCATAATGTCAAAGTGCTACTTTTGCTGATATTCCCAGTTGATCTGTATTTTTTAAGACGGAGGAAGAGAGCTTTGCTTATTGCATTTTATTTTATTTATTTTCAGTGCCATCAGATATATTCCCTTTGGGAGCATTTAAGTTATTTATAAAAATCTGATTTATTTTATTTTTTGGCTGAAAGATAATAAAGACAGCCGTGCTGCTGTTATGTACTGTTTTTTGTTTTTTTTCCCCACAAGAACAAATTTCTCAAATCTTTCTCTAGATATGAAGACTTCCTTGCTGAATTTTCCTTTACTGTAAAATGTCTTAAATTTATAAATAATAAGAATAACACATTTCGCATATGATAGTATCGTTCCTACAGATTTCTTTCACATACCTGTGTTTGTGTGTATATTCCTTTCGTGTTATTTTATTACAAATGAAATGAAAAGTTTAGACCCACTGTAATCATTCATATTTTTAACCAGTAATAGTAGTGATTGACGCTATTAAATAACACCGATGTGGAAGTATGGACATTGTGTAGTGATCAAAAATGTCAAAAATGTACTATTTTTATTCTAAATAGCAGCTCTGCAAACCCTTTCAACCAAATTCAAAAACTTCGCTTTTATTTCAAATATACTGATTCATATGTAAGCACATTTACAGTATATGATATTGGTGAAGGGATATACAATGGACTGGTAAAACAACAGCAAACAAGCAGCAATTCTGATTTCTATTAATAACTACTAATAGTCCTTTCAGGCGATGTCAAAAACCACCAATGACATTTTAAAAACAAAAATATGTTATAATCGCTTATGTTAACATTTTCATATTTCTCTAGTTTCCTGTTCATTTAGGAGACGTCAAACCTAGGCTAGCAATCCAGATGGAAATACACATATTTACGCGACATAACAAACCTATCGTCATACTTCAGCATAAAATACAATCCTAAGGACTTACTTTTACTGAGAAACCTCTCTTCGTGCAGAACTGCGATGGCATTAGTGAATAATATCGCCGTCTGGATCAGTGCGTACAGCGTG